TATTGTGATTCTATTCAGTTTAATTAACCGAGTAGAATTCTATTTATGTAAAATGAATATAGCTATTGATGGGTATTATACAACAGAAAAGACAATGATTGGTAAAGCATTATCCCAAAGATTGGGATATGTATTTATTGATAGTGGCCTAATATATCGATATTTTGTGTTAATTTATTTTTATCTTAAGGATGATCAGATAGAATTAGCAATTAACAGAAGAAAAAAACAATTATTGATAATTTTTTATTTTACATAAATGAATTTAATATAGTATATAATCTTGATATTAATTTATATTTGAAAAATGGAAAAAAAGCAGCAAAACTTGCTCAGAACCAAAATATTAGAAAAGATATAAATGAAATTCTCCAAGAAAAACAAAGGATTTATTATCATTGAAAGTGATGCAACAACTAATATCCTTCCCAAAGCTGATGTTAAAATTGTTCTCATGACAAATTTATTAACATGCGTTCTTAGAAAGTGTATTGAGACTGGTGAAACAATGGATAATATAACCGCTAATATATTACAACGAGATGAAAAATCATACATGTTTATTGAAAATGCAACAAAGGTCTCAACATCTATCAACACAACATATTTATCAATTAACCAAGTAGTTTTCAAAATCATGTTGATAGTATATTTTAAAAAAATAGTAAAATATTGTGAATTTTATTTTGTATTTTTTATTATTATTTATATTTATTTAATTACAAAATTAATTATTTAGTTAAATTTTACTTTACTTAATATAAATAAAAATTATAAATAACCCTCAAATTTCCCTAGTTAGTCTATTAGACCAACTAGAATTTTATTTGTATAATTAATCTAAGGTGAGAGGGTGATCTCAAACCATATATTGTCTAGTCATTTGTTTTCTTTTCATAATACTAACTCTCATTGTCCACCTGATATTTATTATATCCTTGTTGTCTGGTCTGCTAATGCTGGCAATTTTGCAAGATGAAAATGAATTGGCAAGAAATATTTTCAAGTTTCGAAATAATTATGAATTGGAAAAAATATATGAATTCTTTGAAACCAAAACACAAACTAAATGAATATTGTCTTGTTAAAATCAATTTTAAACTATATCTTGAAATAAAAACACAAAACCTAGAAATTACTTTTCTTACAAATATCAAACATTTTAATCTTATTCAAAATTATACTTGGTATTGTCAAAAAGATAGAAATACATATTATATTAGATCAAATAT